CCGTGGATTTCCATGGCAGGTGCAAGAAGAGTAGGCAGGTCTAGAACCCCATGGGAGGATGGGAAAGGCATGCCCAGGGAAACTGTTGTGATGGTGGGAAGTCAGTGTGTTGGGTGGAGACAGAACAGGACAGTCTGGGCTCATAGGAGAAGGTGGCATGGTTGGTGGAGGACATTGCTGGTGACCAAAGTAGAAGGCCAAAGGTCAGGGCAGAGGGTACAGGTCATGAGATGCTGGGATAGGGCAAGAGGATGAAGGGGTGTTGGAACCCACAGATTCAGTGTGAACCAAGAAAGAGGCCCATAGCAAAGTTCAGGTAAGAACGAGTAAGGGGCGCCAACAGTAGCTAGCCATGGGTGTAGAAGGAAGAACTCTATCATGCTATCTGGGGCTGAAGACAAAACAAAAAAAAAAAACAGAGGGCAGAGAAAAGCAAGCAGACCCCAAGTGGTGTGGTTAGAAAAGAGATGAGGTCAGCTGGGGATTTGGCTCAGTGGTGAAAGCTCATTTGCAGACCTCTAGATTCAATCCTCAGTATTGCAAAAACAAAACAGAACAGAACAGAAAAGGTCAATATGCATGAACTTGATAAAGACACCAGAGGCTGATCTCCTATTTTGGCTGTTGGGAGCTGTTCTTCACACTAGGGGGCGCCCTACTCATTGTGGTTGTTGATTTGCATGCAGTCTTCGAGGCCTCATAACACAGGTGCTAGAACTCTATTGCCTGGGTTCAAGCTGGGATTTCCCACTTGCCAGTTGTGTGATCTTAGGCAAATGACTTAGATTCTTATGCTGAAGTCTGTAAAATAGAAATACATATAGTACCAGTTGAGCATACCTAATTTGAAAATGTGAAATCTGAAGTGCTCTGAAATCCAAAACATTTTATTATTTTAATTTTTTGCATTACTGGTGATTGAACCCAGGGGCACTCTACCACTGAGCTACATCTCTAGCCCTTTTTAGTTTTTGAAACAGGGTCTTGCTAAGTTGCCAGCCCAGCTTCAAACTTGCCATCCTCCTGCCTCAGCCTCCTGAGTTGCTGTGATTACAGACAAACACAGCTGAAATCCTAAAAGTTTTAAGCACCTGATGGATTTTTGGACTGGAGATGCTCAACTATGCAAATCCTCCAGAATCCAAAGAACTCCAAAATCTGAACACTATTTTAGATAAGGGATACTCCACCTATACCTAAGTCATACGGTAGTTTTGAAGATTAAATGGATGAATATTTGTAAGACACTTAAAATAGTACAAAATAAATACTATATCGGTGTTGGTTAAATAAATATAATGGGAACTTTCTATAAGATAGCATTAATCGATTTTGTGAAAAAAAAATAGCAGAGCACATCTTGGACTGCACCTTCTGGAATACTGGAGCTGTCAGGGTCCCTTCCCTTGTCCCTCAAAGGCAAGGAGGCGGGATTCTTCTGAGACTCACAGCTTCCTTCTCTTCTTTCTTCCCTGGGCCAAGATGAGACCATCCTAAGGATGGATGAGGTAGGTCACATCCCACAGACAGCAGCCAGCCACGTGGGCTCCTCCGACCCCCTTGCCAGAGATGAGCAGCCTCCTGCTGACATGCTTCGGCCTGACCCTCGGGACACCCTCTATCAAGGTAAGGCTGGCCACATCCCACCTGGAGGTAGCACACTGCCAGTTCCCTCAGTATTGATGGAGGACACTCAGGAGACTTGGCGATTCTACCACAATATCCCAAAAGTCCCAGGATCTTTCCCCCTTGTGTACAATAGAACATGCATACAAGAAAGCACAAAAATATTTACATCCAATTTGACATTTCTTTGTTGTTGTTGTTGTTGTTGTTGTTTTGTGCTGCTATAAACAAACCCAAGGCCACATGCTAGTCAAGTGCTCTACCACTGAGCTACATTCCCAACCCTTTTAAGATTTTTTTCTTTTGAGACAGGATCTCACCAAGTCCAATTTTACAATTCTATAAATTATTACAGAGCAAATACATCTGTATGACCACTACCCAGGAAAAGAAATAGAATCAGAATCCAGAAGTCCCCATGTATCCCTCCTGTACCACAAATAAAATTCCAACTCTTTGTCACTTAATGAGAAATATGTTGACACGAAAGCATTACTTTTATTTGTTTGGTGCTGGGGATGGAACCCATGGCCTTGAGCAGGCTTCTGGGTCAGGCAGGGAGGGGCAAGCATGGTAGGGGTTCAGATCATGCAGCCCTGCCCCTGAGGATCTTAAAAATTCAAGTCACAGCCAGGCACAGTCATGCACTCCAGTAATCCCAGTAGTTCGGGAGACTGAGACAGGAGGATCCCAAGTTCAAGGCCAGCCTTAGCAATTCAGCAAAGCTCAAAATAAAAAGGGCTGGAGGTATTGCTCAGCGATAAAGTGCACCTGGGTTCAGTAATATGCTTTACCATAGAATTAATCCCAAGTAGTGTTTATATTTTATAAGATAACAATGCTTTCTCTCCTATTTCCCCAGTGGGGGAGGGATGAAGAAAAGACAACTGGAAGATGAAGGGATTCTTGACCTATGAAAAGAAATCCAGTTATTGGCACTGCACTAGGGTGGCTTGTGGCCTCTCAAAAGTCTCTAGACCTTATTAGTGACTTTATAGGATAGGCCAGTGCTGTGATTCCAAAGTCACATTGTGCTTTGCATGTCCTCCGTTCTCTGCCACCAACGTGTTCCTTGAACACCCCTGCCCCTGGAGAGAGGTGCCAGCCTATTTGGTAGCCTCAGCTGATGGACATGATTCACAGCTACACCAGTGAATACTGAGAAGTGGCTACTCAGAGGACTTCAGCCCTCACTCTCTGCCAGGTGCCTTCTCCATGGCTCTAAGCCAGCCCCATTTATGCTCTCATCCCCTGCCTTCAATCCTCTTCCTTTCCTGTCCTCAGTGCCTCTGATCCCCAAGTCCCATCTCCGCCACATCCTGCCTGATTGTCCCTACAAACCTAGCTACTTGGTGGATGGGCTCCCTCTGCAGCGCTACCAGGGCCTCCGCTTTGTAAGTCTTGGATCTGGGTTTGGGGCAGGACTGGGGAGGGATTATTGGCTGTGACTAGGGTAGGTGGTCCTGAGGCTGACTCCCCAGTTTCCCTAGGCCCCATCTCAGCAGACAGGATGGTCCCACAGGTTCCTGGGCCGGGTAAAACTTCCATTCTCCATGGACTAACCCAGACAGACTGTTCTGCAGGGGATGCAAATAGGTAGTGCCTTAGGACCCCCCAACCCCCACACACACACCAACTGCTACAGTGACGATGTCAGGTGGCCTGGCTGAGGCTTCCTACAGCCCCTGCTCCTAGAGCCACACATTGTCCTGCTCAGTCCCACTGGCCTGCCAGTCAGTGGCATTTGTTAAGCTCCAATAAGGCACTGGGGTAAAATCAACGATGAGGACATAGAGCCCATTTAGAGGCCAAAGAGGCAGAGTGAATGCTGTATATTCAGCTGTGAGACTGTGAGAGAGATGGGGGCAGGAAGGAAGTGGTCAGAGTCATCTTGAGGCCTGAGAATTGTTTTTAGCGGCAGTGATCTCGTCTAAGGAGGGCAAAGGAGGCAGTACAGTCAGTAAGAAGAGAGGCTGTTTGGACTGTAGGAGGTGGCAGGAAACCTTCAGAGGCTACAGGAGGAGGAGGGGATGGATTTGGCTGTAGCTGGGGGGTTTGATCCAGAAGAGGAGATGAGGCAATGTGGACTAGACAACTTGACTCGAGGGTGTGTTAGGTCCAGAGGACCCAGGAGAGAGACGTGATGGGCAGAGGAGAATCCCAGGCAGTGTAACCAAATGTTTCATTCAGAGTAGCCCATTGCTCCCTGCCATAGACAGGTCCCTAGGAGCTCTATATTTTGATGACTAGGGATAGGCTAACCCGGCTAACTAGTTCCTTAACGGGATCCCACCCTCTTCCTTCTGCTTCTGCTTTCTCCACTCCCAGGTTCATCTGTCCTTTGTTTATCCCAATGACTATACCCGCCTCAGCCACATGGAGACCCACAATAAATGTTTCTACCAGGAAAATGCTTATTACCAGGACAGGTAAGTGGCACTGAATGGGGCAAGAAGGTAGCCTTATTCCCAGCCAGGGGAGCTGCTTGGACTAGAGTGGCCCCAAGTGCCCTCCCCGTCCTAGGAGTCTTAGCTCTTCCTGGGTACCTCCCTCCTCCAACACACACACATCCCCTTCCCTAGTCTCCTTCTTCATTCCAGCCGATAGCTGAGCCTGCATGGCACCTGAAGGCGATCCACATCTCTGTTCCTCCTACAGGTTCAGTTTTCAGGAGTACATCAAGATTGACCAGCCAGAGAAGGAGGGGCCCAAGCATCCAGGTACAGAGTGACCGCTGAGGCTTCTGGGTTAGGCTGGGAGGGGCAAGCATGGTAGGGGTTCAGATCATGCAGCCCTGCCCCTGAGGATCTTAAAAACTCAAGTCACAGCCAGGCATAGAGGTGCACTCCGGTAATCCCAGAGATTCGGAAGACAGAGACAAGAGGATCCCAAGTTCAAGGCCAGCCTTAGCAATTCAGCAAAGCTCAAAATAAAAAGGGCTGGAGATGTTGCTCAGCGATAAAGTGCACCTGGGTTCAGTCTCTAGTACTGCAAAAAAAGAAGAAGAAGAAGAAAAAAAAATCCAAATTGCATTGACCCCTCCCCTCCCCCAAGGGAATAGAGAACAACATTCTCAACTTTTCCATATCAAGGTACATGTGAAGAATGACACTGTTTTTAACAGCGTGCTCGGGTTAGCTGGCAGAGATTTAGAGCCCTAGAGATTACTTGGATTACTGGAGGGGAAGACGATCCTTGGCATACCATTTGGGAAGTTTTGCTAAGGAGAGGCCCTTTCTTCTTTTTTTTGGTGGGTGGAGGTACCAGGGATTGAACTCAGGAGCACTCGACCACTGAGCCACATCCCGGGCGGCCCTATTTTATATTTTATTTAGAGACAGGGTCTCACTGAGTTGCTTCGCTTTTACTGAAGCTGGCTTTAAATTTGTGATTTTCCTGCCTCATCCTCCCCAGCTGCTGGGGATTACAGACATGCAAGGCCTTTCTTCTTGAGGGAGTATGGCATGTCTGAGACCATTTATTGGGTCCTAAAAGGGGTCAGACACCTGCCGTGCACTTTATGTACTTTATTAGTGTACTTTTGTTTTGTTTTGTTTTTGTGGTGCTGAGGATTGATCCTAGGTTCTCACACATGTTAGGCAAGTGCTCTATCACTGGGCTACATCCCCAACCTTACTTTATGCATTGATATCGCTCAGTCTTCATAATCACCCTCTGAGAGGTGGATCTTTGGAGCCTTAATGCAGATAAAGAAGCTGGGGTTAATTGAAGTTGAAAAACTTTCCCAAGGTCTCACAATTCATTGGCAGAGCCTGGATCCCATCCCCATCTGGAGCCTCTTGGTGTCTCGCACGCATCCTCAGCAGCAGCCTTCTCTGTCTTCTTGGGAAAAGATTGAAAACTCTGATGAGGAATGGTTATTATTAACAGGTTTTGAGGAGGACCTTCTAGAAGAATCCCAGTATGAAGAAGTGGCAGAGGAGACCCCTGCCTCCCAGGACCAGGATACCAGGATACGAGAGGGAAAACAAACGGTTGCCTCTGTCCCCGGCCAGGAGGTCACTGACTACCGCCTCCGAAGCCTGCGGAAGCTCCTGGCTCAGCCTCAGGGGGCCCCACTGCCTCCCATTTCCAAGCATAACTCCACTGGTCCCTTCCCAGTGAGAGCCAGTGACATCCCAGTCCTCTCACCGGCGAAGAGGAAGAGAAAACCTAGCCCTGAGCCCAGCCGAGATTCACCTCATTCTGACAAACGGGCCCCTGGGAACCTGCCTCAAATTAAGAGACCCAGGCCCACTGGTGACCAACCCCAGAAAGCTCTAGAGCAGTCCCAGTGGCTGAACCAAGTGGAATCCTACATTGCAGAGCAGAGAAGGGGTGACAGGATGGAGCCTCTGGCCCCGAAATGGGGTTGGCATGGAGAGGAGGAAGTGGTGGCGGCTGCAGGCCAGGAAGGACAAGCGGAGGGAGAGGAAGAGGGGGAAGAAGAAGAGGAAGAGGATATGAGTGAGGTGTTCGAATATGTACCTGTGTTTGACCCAGTAGTAAACTGGGACCAGACCTTCAGTGCCCGGAATCTCGACTTCCAAGCCTTGAGGACGGATTGGATTGACCTGAACTGTAACACATCTGGCAATCTGCTACTTCCAGAGCAGGAGGCCCTGGAGGTCACCCGGGTCTTCTTGAAGAAGCTCAACCAGAGGAGCCGGGGGTAAGGTAAAGGGCTTTCCTGGGGCCAAGGGGTGGGGTGCTGCTGGCTGACCAGGAGGGCAGGGACCTGAGTGCTGGTAGCAAGCGCCCCTGCTGCAAGAGAGTGGACTTTCCCTCCCAACCCAGGCTCCTAAGAAGGACAAGTGCCCAGGGCCCCTGCCCCTGCAATGATCGGCACCAGTTAGCCCTTTGTTCCAGTCAGGCAGGTTCTAAAATACCTGGGTATCTGACCCAGGCCCCCAGAGAAGGCTTGGTAGATAGGGTACCCTCCCTCAGAGAGACAGAGACAAACAGGAAGAATAGAGGCTAAAAGTACAAATGAAGACCTCAGGGCCAAACCAAGCATGTTGGTATATACCTGTAAATCCAGTGGCTGCTGAGGCAGGAGGGTCTCAAGTTCCAGATCAGCCTTAGCAAGTCAGCAAAGCCCGAAGCAACTTAGCGAGACTCTGTCTCAAATTTAAAAATGAAATAAAAATATGTTAGGGCTCAGTCATGAGGCATGTCTAGGGATGGATATATGTATATATATTTGTAAATAGATCTTTTATTTTCTCTATCTATTTATTTATATGCAGTGCTAAGGATCGAACCCAGGGCCTCGCACATGCCAGACAAGTGCTCTACCCCTGGCCACAGCTTCAGCCTCTGGAGTTCTATTCTAAGACAGAATCTCATTTAAGTTGTCCAAGCTGGCCTTGAACTTGTGATTGGCCTGCTGTAGCCTCCCAAGTAGCTGGGATTACAGACTTCTGCCACCAAACCTGGCCAGTTCATTGGTTTTAAAAGTATATTCACAATATTATGTAATTTTCACCACTAATTCCAGAACATTTTTATTACCTTTATTACCTTTTTCTATAGCCAAGTGCTGTGGTACATCCTATAACCCGAGGGGCTGAGGAGGGTGAGGTAGGAGGATTTCTTGAGTCCAGGACTGGAGGCCAGCCTCGGCAACATAGGAAGAACACTTTTCTAATTAAAAGAAGGAAGGGATTTAAAAGAAACTCTGCATCTGTTTGTGGTTTCTTCTCATTCCTCCCTCCTCCCAGTCCCTGGCAACCACTATTGTACTTTTTATCGCTATAGAATTGCCTATTCTGGACATGGCATATAAATGGAATTATATAATATGTGTCCTTTTGCATCTGTCTTCTTTCACTTAGCAAAATATTCTCAAGGGTCATCCATGTTAGAGAACATGTCAGTTACCTCATTCCTCTGTCCTGGTGAATGATATTTCATTGTGTTGGATATACCACATTTTGTATATCCATTCATCAGTTGATAGACATTTGGATTGTTTCTACTTTTTGGTTATTACAGATACATTGCTGCAGTGAATATTCATGTATCAAATTTTGTGTGAACATGTTTCATTCCTCTTGGGTATTTGTACACCTAGGAGTAGAATCTCTAGGTCACGTGGTAACTCTGTGTTTAACATTTTGAAGAATTGCCAAGCTGTTCTCCAAATCAGCCACATCATTTTACATTCCCGTCAGCAGCATGTGAGAGCTCCAGTTTCTCTACATCCTCATCTGCACTTGTTATTTTCCATTTTATTTTGTTTTAAATAACCATCTCATGGGAACAAAATGAAATCTCATTGTGATTTAGGAGTCTGCTCCCAATAATCCACAATGTTTAATATTGTAGAGGTTGGAGGTGGTTGAGTGCTTGCTTAACATGCATGAAGTTAAACACAGCTCAATAAATAAATAAACGAACTTTACTGTAAAATATAAATGCCGAATGCTCCAATTCACACATGGATTTGTCATAAATTTTACTTAGCCCAGATAATTTATATGAATAAATTAAATGTGTAATAAGTTATTGATATGTTTTTTTTCCTTAAATGTAATTATAAATTATTAAGTTCTTCACCAGTCATGTAATTATTAGTAATTATTAGTTTTCTTTTTATTTTCTTTTTTTTTCTTTTTTTTTTTTTTTTTTTTTTGAGATGGGTCTCACTATGTTGCTCAGGCTAGTCTTGAACTTGTGGACTCAAGTGGAAGACAGGCAACACTGTACTAGGATGCAGGGCTTTGTGCATGTCAAACATGTGCTTTATCACTGAGCTACATCCCCAGCCTTTTTTTTTTTTTTTTTTTTTAGTTGTAGAAGAACACAATACCTTTATTTCATTTGTTTATTTTTATATGGTGCTAGGGATTGAACCCAGTGCCTCATGCATGCTAGGAAAGCACTCTACCACTGAGCCACAACCTAGCACCCCGACCTTTTTGTTGTTGTTGTTGTTGTTGATGATGATGATGGGGATTGAACTCTCCGCCTGGAGCATGCTAAGCAAGCACTCTATCACTGAGCTACTCCACGAGCCCTGCCAGCCATATTTTTTATTTGAATTGATGCTCAGTAACTATGCATAATTATGGGATAGTGTGACAGTTCAATACAAGTATACAGTGTATAATGATTAGAGAAATTGGCATATATCTCTCCTTCCACATTTATCATTTCTTTGTGTTAGGAGCATTTAAAATCCTCTCTACTAGCAAGTTTGAAATAATTAATTAATTTTTTCCACTATATTTATCCTACTGTGCTATAGAACATTACAAGTCATCCTTCTATCCACTGAACCCCAGTACTCATTAACCATCCTTCTCCATCCCTGCTTTTTCCCCCATCCCCTTCCCAGGCTCTGGTAATCACTGTTCCATTCTCTACTTCTGTGAGATCAATTTTTAGCTTCCACACATAAGTAAGAAAATGCAGTATTTGTCCTTCTGTGCCTGACTTATTTTACTTAACATAGGTCCTCCATTTCCATCCACGTTGCTGCAAATGATAGAATTTTATTCTCTGTATGGTTGAATAATATAATTTTGTATATATTCAACATTTTCCCATTCATCTGAAGATTAGCATTTTGGTTGATTTGATATCTTGGCTGGTTGAATAGTGCTTCAATAAACATGTGAATGTAGTTGTCTCTTCGGCATACTGATTTCAGTTCCTTTGGATGTATGCACAGTAGAGGGATTACTGGATCCTATTGTAGTTCTAGTTAGAGTTTTTGAGAAATCTCCTACTGTTTTCTTTATCGGTTGTACTAATTTACATTCCCAAGACTCTGTGAGAGTTCCCCTTTCTCTACATCCTGGACAGCTTGTTGCTGTTGTTATATTATGACTTTTTGACAGTAGACATTCTTGTTTTAAATATTTTGTCTTAGTTGTAGTTGGACACAGTATCTTTATTTTATTTTTATGTGGTGCTGAGGATCGAGCCCAGTGCCTTGCATGTGCTAGGCCAGTGCTCTACCGCTGAGCCACAACCCCAGCCCTGACGGTAGGCTAAAATGATATCTCATTGTTGTTTATTTGCATTTCCATGATGATTAGTGATGTTGAACATTTTTTTATATACTTATTGTCCTTTTATATATCCCCTTTTAGGAAATCTCTATTCAGGTGTGATGCATGCATATAATCCTAGTGACTCAGGAGGCTACAGCAGGAGGATCTCAAGTTTGAGCCCAGCCTTGGCAACTTAGCAAGGCCCTGTCTCAAAATAAAATAGCCAGTGGTAGGGCTCTTACCTTGCATGTTCAAGGTCCTGTGTTCAATTTCTAGAACTGCAAAGAGAGAGAGGGCAGGGTATGGAAAGCAGGGAGGGAGAGAAATGTTTATTCAGGTCATCTTTGCATTTTTAAATCATATTATTGAGGTGTTTGTTTGTTTGTTTGTTTGTTTTTTGCTGTTGAGTTGTTTCGTGTTTCTTATATATTCTGGATGTTAAACTTTCATTGATAAACAAGTTGCAAATATTTTCTCCCTTTCTGTAGGTTGTTTCTTTACTCATTGTGTTTGTTTTTTTGCAATGCTGGGGATCAAACCCAGGGCCTCACACATGCTAGACAGATGCTTTTCCACTGAGCTACACCCCCATCCCAGAAACTTTTCTCTGACATTTCATCTCCTGTGCTGTCAATGGATTCTATTATTATAGCATCATGATTTGTTTGGGGCATTTTCTTCCCTTGTTTTTTCATGTTGTTCATGTGTCTTCCTCCTAGGTATTACAGTTTCTACACTATAATTTTGTAATGCCTCTGCAGGTTACCAATACCTCACCTCTGGTGTAACCAGGCCTGTGGGGACCTTGGTGATGGTCTTCCCCATCCTGGCTGTTGTCTCTAGATAGAAACAGGCCAGAACAGCCATGTATTGGTAGATCAGGGGGCCGCAGTACCATTGTTCTCCTCCTCTGTGAGTGGGGCCGCATTGGTCTGCTCTGCCTCCTCCACTCCTTGGGCAGGGGTTCAGCTCCCAGAAACTTTTTAGTCTGATGTAATCCCATTTGTCAATTTGTGCTTATGGGGTCATATCTAAAAAATATTTGCCCAGATGAATGTCCTCAAACTTACTTACTCCTGTTTTCATAGTTTCAGGTCTTAAGTCTGATTCATTTTTGAGTTGATTTTTTGTATGTGGTGAGAAATAGGAGTTTTGTTTTATTTTTCTGCATGTGCACATCCTGTTTTCCCAGCACCCTTTATTTCAACAGACTATCTTTTAGATAATTTGTGTTCTTGCTGCTTTTGGTTGGCTGCAAATACCTGGATTTATTTCTGGGTTTTCTATTATGTTTCATTGGACTATGTGTCTGTTTTTATGCCAATACCATGCTGTTTGTGATTTTGATTTGCATTTCTCTAGTGACTAATGATGTTGAGCCAACCAGTCAACATATCTTATCAGAATGTTAATTTGAACAAAGAATTTTTATTAACTAGAGTCAACTTATCAAGGAACCTCTTCTCGGTGACCCCTCATATTCACCTTGTATACTTAGAATGTTTAAGCTATAAAGGACCTTAGAGATGATCATAGCTCAGTAGGTATGTGTTTAAAGATGAAGGCACTGAGCCCTGGAGAGGTTGTGCAACTAACTTCCCTTGGTCCCTTAGCTTATGGAAAAGCTGGAATAAAACCCAGGGTCTCCTGATAACTGATCTCATGGGCTTCTACCACACATGCTCCCTTCACAGTGCAGGGTGGATTACTCAAGTCTCCCACCTTTTCTGCCACAGGAGGTACCAGCTGCAGCGCATTGTGAATGTGGAGAAGCGTCAGGATCAGTTACGTGGCGGTCGCTACCTCTTAGAGCTTGAACTACTAGAACAAGGCCAGCGCCTGGTGCGGCTCTCCGAGTACGTGTCCACACGAGGCTGGCAAGGTGTTGATCCAGCTGGTGGGGAGGAGACGGAGGCCCGGAATCTGCAGGGCCTGGTCTGGAGTCCACACAGACGTCGGAGACATGTCCTGAATGCCCGGGATCCAGAGCCCAAGCTTTGCTGGCCCCAGGGTTTCTCATGGAATCACCGAGCTGTGGTCCACTTTGTCGTGCCTGGTAAGCCTCAGGAGGGTGGGGATCCTAATGATGATCATGAGCACCCAGATCTGTTTTCTCTGATTCAATCTCCCAAGAGTTTGTTGAAGAAGACACTTTATAATTAAGGAAATGGAGCCTCCCCACACACAAAAAGGAATGAGCTTAAGGTTACGTGACTGGTAAATTAACCAAGAATAGGTGCTGACTTGTAGGCCAGTGATCTTTCTTTCACACTAGGTTTCAGAACTGGATGTGATTATGAACCGAGATTGTTGAATAAATAAGATAAGGAGGATACTGTATACAATGGCTTTGTTATTATTTATTTATTTCAGTGCTGGGGTTCAAGCCCAGGGCCTCAAGCATGCTTAGCAATCACTCCACAACTGAGCCATATTCCCAGGCCTAGAGTGGTTTTTACTGATTTATTTGTTTCTTTTTTGGTTCTGGGATTGAACCCAGGGACACCCTACCACTGAGCCACATCCCCAGCCCTTTTTATTTTGAGACAGGATCTTGCTGAGTTGTCAAGAGCCTTGCTGAATTGCTGAGGTGGGCTTTAAACTTGCAGTCCTCCTTCCTGCCTTAGCCTACCAAGTGACACGGATTACAGGCGTGCACCACTGTGCCAGGTCCCACGTGGTTTTGGTAATGAGAAGGGAAAACTTATAACAGGCAGGAGAATTACAGTATTGCAGGAAAGGATTGAAGGGTAGTGATATAGACAGAAAAGAAGGTCTGATGGTTTGCTAGGAGAGAGCTAATGATGAGCCCTAGCCCCAGGCCTTCTCTCAGGGGCCTTCTCTCAGGTTGTTCATGGAGCTGGATGTAGAGGCCAGGCTACTTGTCAGCACTCCCTCTCTTTGGTTCTCTGCTCTTGCTAATTGATTTCCTACAGCCACATTGTTCCCTAAGCAAAGGTCTAGTGGGGACTCCGGACTCACATTGGAGCTTACAGTGGAGATGATCATCTTTCACTTACCTGTTTCTTTATTCCTGCCTGGCCCACCGGGGCAGTGAAGAACCAGGCACGCTGGGTGCAGCAGTTCATCAGAGACATGGAGAACCTGTTCCAAGTCACCAGTGACCCACACTTCAACATCATCATCACTGACTATAGCAGTGAGGACATGGATATTGAGACAGCTCTCAAGAGATCCAAGCTGCGGAGGTGAGGAGGACCCCTGACCAGGCCACAGCCTGGGCTGCCTCCTTCCTGAAGTCCTAGGCTTTATTCGGTCCAATGCAGAGACAGAAGTCCCACCCAGTCGCCAGCTTTTCCCCAAGGACTTACCTGCTGATATGAACCCCATCCCAGGAACACTCCATCTCTTCTGTGCTAAAGAAGAGCTTTCCTCTTCCTCCAGGGGACCGCTGCAGATGAGTTCTAATCCTCAGCCCCTGCTTTCTCCTCTTCCTACAGCTACCAGTATATGAAGCTCAGTGGAAACTTTGAACGCTCAGCTGGACTTCAGGCTGGCATAGATCTGGTGAAGGTAATCAGTCTGTAGGGGGCTTAGGAGATGTGATTAGAGACTGGTTAAGAGGTAGAGAGGCATTTGAGATGTGTCAGCTCCTGAAAAGGGAATGGAATGGGACACATTGGTATTAGTCCCACAGTCATATTTTGTTACTACAACAAAATACCTGAGAGAATCAACTTAAAAAGAAAGACAGGTTTGTCTTATCTCATTGTTTCAGAGCTTTCAGTTCATAGTCACTTGGCCCCATTGCCTTTGGTCCAGCGTTGATGCAAAACATCATTGTGGAATGAAGGATGCTCCTCACTTATTGGTGGCCAGAAAACAAAAGAGAGATACAAAGGGACCAGAGTCCCAATACCCACCTTTAAGGGCACTAGCTCCCCCCACCCAGGCCCACCTCCTAAACATTCCACTGACTTCCTAGAGCACTACAGATGGGCCACCAAACCTTCAGCTCATGCATCTTTGAGGGACACTTACCCAAAGCGTAGCCAGGAGCATTCTCCCTGCTATGCTGCAGGCCCAGGCCAAGTGTGGGACTAAGCAAATGACAATGGAGCCTTTGTCCAGAGTCCTCAGAGCCCACAAAAATTGGGGGGAGTCAGAATTCACTGTTGGACGGTAAGAACTCTGTTCTGATGCTCAGTAGTGTGGAAACCTGCCCAGTGGTTAGTTCTGGGCAAGTTTGTCGGTCATTCTAATGGAGAAGAGCCTGGGGATTCTCCTAGAGAGTGGCCTCCCACCAGCCCTCTGGTGACCCTGCACCCTCCCCCTACTTTTTTTTTTCTTTTTTTTTTTTTTCTTCCATGGTCATGCAGCTCTTGGTTAAAAGGGCTGCCTGTGGGAGGCAGGTGGCCCCAGTCATGCACACGCATGTACTCTGGCTCTGCAGCCTGATCCCCAATGCAACGCACAGGTGCAGCTGACCCTGCCCGTTCTGTCCCCAGGACCCACACAGCATCATCTTCCTCTGCGACCTCCATATCCACTTCCCTGCTGGAGTCATCGATACCATCCGGAAGCACTGTGTGGAGGGCAAGATGGCCTTTGCCCCGATGGTGATGAGGCTGCATTGCGGAGCCACCCCGCAGTGGCCTGAGGGTGAGCCCTACTCTGAGTTAGGGAAGAGGAAAAAAACCTTTGTGGCCTTGGTTCTCAACCTCAGAGCTGAAAACAGTCATGTTTGTGAACATCGTCATCCTCTTTTCCTGCCCTGCCCCCCACTACCTTTGAGCCTCCAGACAGTCCAGAGAGAAGTGCCCCGAGCTGCGCTGACAGCCACAGCCAGAGATGCAGCAGTGAACATTTCCCACCCATCTTCCCCTTCATCCATTTGCCAAACATTTATTAGAAATTCACTGTATGCTGCATGCTGTGCCCCTGTGAGGGTATGAAGGTGGGAAGAGGAAAATGCAGTCAACTGACCTGCAGCTGTGTGTTGTGTGGCTGCTGTTGTCAGATCCTGTCATCAGCCTGTGGTCAGTGCTATATTTGGTGGACCCTAACCTTGGTTAGAGGCTTCTGCCCAAACAGGCAAGGGACCTGTTCAGCTAAGACAGCATTCAGCTTTAGTCACCCCCACCCTCCCTCTTTCAGAAAAGCCTCTAAGAGCACAGCCCAGAAGCCTTTTAAATTTCTTCCTTCTGACCGTGGCTCATCTCACCCGGAGCTTCTTGTCTGTCCACAGGCTACTGGGAGGTGAATGGATTTGGGCTGCTTGGCATCTACAAGTCAGACCTAGACAAGATCGGGGGCATGAACACTAAGGAGTTCCGAGACCGCTGGGGTGGAGAAGACTGGGAGCTGCTGGACAGGTAACTAGGGAAAGGAGGGCGTCCAAGACATCTGCTGGAATTGCATTCCATACTGTGCTCTAAGGAAGGAACAGAGCTGGATCACCCAGCTGGGCCCCTTGGCTGCCGATTTCCCCATGAACAAGTAAAAGGTATGGGTTCTGAGGAAGCTCTCAGGTGACTGCCTCACACGCACTCTGTAAGCTAGCAGAGAGGGATGATACTCCTGCTGTCTATGTCACAAGGCTGCTGTGACAATTAAACTGCTCAGTAAACTGTCAGAGGAAAAGCAAAAACAGCTGATCTGTAAAAGTTCAAGTGGTAATGTTCTCAGCACCAGGTGAGGTGCTCTGGCAAATATCACTGCCTCGTCCCTAAACTGGGTAGATCTCCCCATCACAGCTGCCAGAGGCTGTGTGGAAATAGATAAGGGAGACACAGGCCAAGGGTCAGGAAAGACTTTGGGGTTCACAAAAGAAGCATTGAAGGACAACAAGATATCCAGGAGGTTGTGGGATTGGGGGAATCAGTGGGGGAGGAGATTTAGAGAAGAGGTAATAGCCTCAGAGAAGAAGAGGAACATAGGATAACACAGTACAGGCTGTAGGCGTGGTAGGAGGGCTGGGAGCGAGTGTTTTAGCAGGGAGCCAGATTGTGCAGTGAGGACTGGGGATGTGGCTCAGGGGTGTGTACCTGGCACACATGAGGCTGATGAGGCTGTGGGTTCAAGCTTTGGAACCGCAAAAAAAAAAAAAAAAAAAAAAAAAAATGTGCAGTGACATCAAGTTTAGGGGAGGAAGGAACATAGGGGCAGTGAGGAAGTTGCTGCCTATAATTGCATGATATTCCTCTTTTAAGAAGTTTGCTGCTAAGAGAAAGGGAAGGAAAGAGGTACCTTGAGAGTTGAGCTTAAGAGGAAGGAGCAAAGGAGAAAGAGGGGAGGAAAGGGTTTAGTTACTGGAAGGGTGACTGGGGGAGGAGGACAGGGCAAAGTCAGGGGCACCTGGGGCAGGGGACCTTGACAAAGGCATGCACTTCTTCCTGAGAGATGGGACAAGATGCAGCCACCAATCACTGAGCACCTGTATTTGGCAGGTGACTCACACGTTCCTTTGTTTCTCTCTCCCCAAACCCCTGTGTGGTAGGTGTAATTTTCTCCATTCTTCAAAGGAGAAAACTGAGTCATGAAGAGTAGGTAATAACTTGCCCCAGATCTTTCCCATTTAAGTGTCAGAAGCTTAAAAACTAGGCCTGTGTGTGATTTTCCCCAAGATGGAAGGTGACAATACCGAGAGAACTGAAAGTGAAAAGGGGGATGTTGAGGCATGTTATGTCAGATAACTCAGATCTCAGAAAACTAGATCAAAGTTGATCTCAAAAGTTGGGAAGCCCAGTATAGTGGTTACTATCACCCTTGATCTCTGTGCTGTGCTTTGTGTGTTTGTGTGTGTGTATGTGGGGGGGGGGCTTCTTGTTCTTGTTTTGGGGGCGTTTCTTTTTTACCCCCGCCTTTGCAGTGCTAGAGATAGAACTCAGGACCTCACACTTGCTAAGCAAGCACTGTACCACTGAGCTACCTCCCCCAGCTGTTTTTATTTTACATTGAGACAGGATCTGCCTAAGTTATCAGGGCTAGCCTTAGATTTGGAATTCTCCTGCCTCAGTCTCCACAGTCTCTGAGGTCATAGGTGTGTGCCACTATGCACCCAGCTGGGCTTTGTGCTTTGACACAGATGTCTGTCATGATTCTTAACTTGCCTGCCTCCTTTAAGGCCCAAAGAGAATGAATCTGTTTCCAATTCCAGCTACTTGCAGCTCTGTCAGAAGTGCAGGCCTTCTTGTGAAAGGGTCACCCAATGGGCTATGCAAATAGAAAAGGAACAGGGAGGGCTGGAGATTCAAGGGGCCCGGGGTTCCATCACCAGCACTGAGAGAGAGAGAGAGAGAGAGAGAGAGAGAAGGAACAGAGGCAGGGTCTGGGGATAGAATCTCCAACTCTAGCCCTTTGACTCTCTCAGATACTACCATGAGTGCCCTGTGTTACTAGGCATCAGGAACTGTGCTTACATCCATCATATCTACTTATGTGTATTATATTATGTATAATATGTATGTATATGTGTATGTATGTTGGAAGTAGTGGTGAAGACTAGAGATGATGGATGCAAATAGCACATATATTTATAAAATTGTTATCCTCTTTCTAAAGATAGCAAACAGGTTCTGACAGGTGACGTGACTTGCCCAGACACGTTGCTGGGATTCTAACACCAGCAGCTGGGCTTCAAAGCCCGCACTCTTTCCACTACACCCAACTTCCTCTGTTCCACGGGAGGTGACCAGGGGAAGGAGGAACAGGGTCTGACGTAGATGTGAGAGGGTCAGTTCCTCAGGGGCCCGAGCTGCTTCCCAGTTGCTGTGTGTGCTTCCGTGGGCTCATCCTGCCCCTCCCTCTTTCAGGATCCTCCAAGCAGGCCTGGAAGTGGAGCGTCTTTCCCTCAGGAATTTCTTCCATCATTTCCATTCCAAGCGAGGCATGTGGAACCGACGCCAAATGAAGATGCCGTAGTCCCTGGAGCCACGTGCAGCTCCTTGACTTGCTGTTGTTCCCCAGCGCCCCTGCTCGCTGCTGGAGAAGGGGAGGGCAGGGGGGCAGAAGCGATGGCTAGGCCCCGAGAGGCCTCAGAGCCAATTCCCCTTTCCACTGGGAGCTGTCCCCTCATGCAGAGACAGGTGCCAAGACTCCTCTGCCACTCAATCAACAGAGAGAGAACGGCTCCTGAGACAGACGGGGCAGCCAGGTCAAGGAAGGATAGCCCTGCTTGAGCAATACTGTTGTTATCCATGAAGGTGCATTCCAGTCACCCGCCCCCCCCATGCTCCTCTTGGGAGTATTGGCCATTGAAACTGGAAACTTCTGCTGGACATATTTTAATGGGGGGTTTATTTTTTTAACCAGAGAACCAAAACTGCTGTTCATTCCCAGCATTGACTGTGAATGGGGTGGAGTTGTACATTGAAGGAGTAATCCCAGTCGCAGATCCCAGATCCATTTGTGTGTAGAGATGTGTCCCTAGGGCACTGTCCCTTCCAGAGGTGCTGGCCACACGTGGAGCAGGTCTAGCTCTAGCCCAGGCTTGTGCCTTTAAACACACATACATTTCTCCTGGTAGCCCCTGAACCGCAGGCCGGCGGTGAGGGCATTAACCTCATCCCTCCAGGTGGCACTAACTTCAGACCAGAAGCACAGAACTGGCAGCCAGGTCCAGGTACAAAGGTGGGGTTGGGAGATCGGGAACTAATGAGCATTGGGCTTACCTTGCCCAGTGTTGGACATATGAGCCATGCAGAACCCACAAGATGAAAAAGACCAGAGACGGATGCCCCTTCCCTTCCCAGCTCACCTGTGAGATAAGGCCTCTGGAGAGGGTAGAGAGAGGCCAGCCAAGAGGATGTGGACGTAATCCATCAACTTTGTGTAGATGAGAAGAGGAGGCAGAGATCAGGCAGAGAGGGATGGAAAGGGAAGTGGAAAACTTGAATCCCAGAAGCCCAGCTCCCCTATGAATTTGCCCTCCTGCAGGGAGAGCCCCAGCTGCTTGTCCCTGAGGGGAAGACGAGGAAGGGGTGTGGGTGAAACCTCAGACCTCGAGACAGGAAGTGGGCAAGGCAAGAGGTGTGGGAAGCTGAGGATATTGTCCTGAAAGGTATCTTCCCCAAGGGTTGGGGGAGCAGGAGGAACTGAAAAGTAAAGCAGTTTCAGGGAAAATCACCCTTGGCCTTTTCAGTCTGCGACCACCCTTTATGTCACCTGATGATCATGCACTTATCTTGCACTAATAATCCCCGGGTACTTTTGTGGCTGGGGACTTTTCTACTGCTGCTGTTAAATTCACCAATGGTGCATTGGATGCTGGATCTTGAACTCCAGAGTCTGTGGACGGAGCTGAGCACAGGGCCTCCCTGTTGGGAGGTGCAGCAGGGCCCAGGAGCTCAATGCTGTGACAGTCTACATCACAACGTTCAGAGCTAGGGTCTACCTGGTGGGCTCTGCATTCACCAAGAGCAAAACCGTGGCATGTGGGAGGATGGAGCCCATTGAGAACCTTCTGGACTTTGGAGAGAATCCTGCCTTCCTCTAAGGAATCAAGAAGGACAGAGACGTTTCGTTAATAGGCCGTGGCTTGTATGCCATACCTGCCCCCCTGGGATGTGGCTTTTACTGGTCCCTGCTCAGGACTGTACCCTCTGGAAAGGACCACATAGGAGGTAGGCTAGGACTGCAGTTGGCTGATTGGGGTGCCAGCTTTCGTTTTAGGGCCACTCTTATCCTTGGCATTGCACTGGAGGCAACAGTCCCAACAGCCCTCTTTATCCACCTCTCCTAAGGACCAGGAGCCAGCCCAGCCTTCCCTGCCCTGCCCACACCCCTCTGTCCTTGGGCCAGTGCCTTGTGTTTGATGTCTGTTACCTCCCCACCATCTGCCTTAATGAGAAGGGCCGGACATGGCCCCTACTCTGTAGAGAAATGTCTTGGGTGAGGGGAGGGAGTGGGTGAAGGGAGGGAAAGCATTAAATACAGCATCTTCTTAGAAAACAAATGGCTCTCGTGTTTTCCTGTTGCCCATCATGGAAGAGGGTTGAATTGAGGGGCACAAGGATTGCATCTCCATCCCTCTGAGAGGTATGCCGAGGACCTCCCTCACTGCCCTCCACCCTTGCTGCTAGTTTGGGGAAGTTGCCGAGTTCTATGCTGTGGTTTGTTCAAGGATATAACATTGTCTTTGGTGTCTCACAGTCTGATAGTAGACCAGGCATTTTCTGTTCAGTAAATTAATGGAAATTGGCCATTCAGCTGAGAATGACTATAGACACCCTGGGTGAAGAAGGCTAGCTATCGGGCCAGATGGTTTGGTGAGCAGTGGATAAGAGCCAAGGGGTAGCTTATTCTAAGTTAACAGATGGGGCTGTGGTCCATGCCTGTAATCCCAGAGATTCAGGAGGCTGAGGCAGAAGGATCACAAGTTCAAGGTCAGCCTCAACAACTTAGTGAGACACTATCAAAATAAAAAATAAAAAGGGCTGGGGATGTGGCTCCATAGTAGAGAACTCCTGAGTTCAACCCCTGGCACTGCAAAAATAAATAAGAATTAATTAATTAATTAAAATAGCAGATAGGGCTGGGGATGTCGCTCAGTGGTAGAGTGTTTGCCTAGCATGTGCAAGACCAATAAAAATGAAAAATCACTTCTGTTTGCAAGTTGACTGTCCTCGGTGTATTTGGCCTGAGCGAAGATCAAAATTTGTATTTAGTAAACATGTGCTTAAGAGACACTTTGGAGGTGCGGGGTACTAGGGATTGAACCTAGGGGCTTTACCACTGAGCTACACCCCCAGCCCTTTTAATTAATTTATGTATTTTTATGTTGACACAGGATCTCACAAAATTGCTTAGGGCCTTGCTGAGTTGCTGAGGCTGGCCTGAAAAATTTGCCATCCTCCTGTCTCAGCCTCCCCAATTGCTGGGATTATAGGTATGTGCTACCACACCCAGCAGGAGACACTGTAATGTGAAAGCTATTATAGGTTTCAGTAGGTCCTTGAAAAGGTTTGTGCATAAATGCATTAGTCCAGAATCGACTGATCTGTGATTGAGGTAGGAGATGTAATAATCCCTTTCCAGGACACAGAGAGGGCATTCAGACACCAGCCTGGATACTGATACTGGAGCCTTCACAACTGAAGACAAGGAGATTGACCCTGGATTCACAGAGATTTTTATAGATAGAAGTTAATCCATTTTACACAAAGGGAGAACTGAGGCCTGGCGCAGAGGGAGGGCATGGGGTAGGCTCGGAACCAAAGGCTTGATCTCACATTAACCTGCCATAGGCGCAGGAGATGCTGCCAGGGAGGGAAGATTGGCAGTACTGGAGTCAGAGCTCAGGAATGCGGAACAAGGTGGAGTCCCTTAGACCTGTAAAGTATCACATCTTTATTCGGGTGCTCTAGGGAAGAAGCCAGCACAGCTATATTGCCCTTTTAGAAGCTCTCCCAGGGGCTGTGGAAAGTGCCCATTAGCATGGCAGATCAAGGAGGAAGGAGGCAGAAGCAGTCCCAGAACCAGTACCTGTAGAGGAAACAGACAAGAGGCAATGAGGAGAGCAGGACAGACCAGTGCTCCTCAAACTTGGATGCAGACACTGTTCACCTGGCAGTCTTACTAAAATGCAAGTGCTGATTCCATGACTGGAATGGAGGCCTGAAGTCCTGCATTTCTAAAGCCGGCTCCCAAGTGATTTTGTAGATTCTTCTGGCTCATGGACCATAATCTGAGTAACAAGAGCTGCTAGACAATACCAAAGAGACATTTCACGTTTCTGTCTTTCTCTTGCTAGATGGGCTGAACCAAACACTAGCCCCATTAGCTTCCAGCCCACCCCAGGCTGTGGAATAATCTGAGCCTAAGAACTATAGGAGTCACTCACTGGGAGAAGGGACTTAGGGTAGGTCTTATTAAGAACCAGTCCCGGGCTGGGGATGTGGCTCAAGCGGTAGCGTGCTCGCCTGGCATGGGTGCGGCCCGGGTTCGATCCTCAGCACCACATACCAACAAAGATGTTGTGTCCACCGAAAACTAAAAAATAAATATTAAAAAAAAATCCCCCTCTCTATTAAAAAAAAAAAAAAAAAGAACCAGTCCCCTGCCTGGCATGGTGGCACATGCCTATAATCCCAGCGGCTGGGGAGGCTGAGACAGAAGGATCGCAAGTTCAAAGCCAGCCCCAGCAAAAAGCTAGGCGCTAAGCAACTCAGTGAGACCCTGTCTCTAAATAAAATATATAAAAAAAAAATAGGGCTGGGGATATGGCTCAGTGGTCAAATGCCCCTGAGATAAATCCCTGGTACCCTCTTCCCCCCCCAAAAAAAAAAAAGAACCAGTCCCCACTCTTCAAGACACCCCTTTGGCCCTAGACCTATAGGCCTTCCCCTTTGGCTTGGCAAGGGAGATTCTTCTTACCCCAACCCCCAGAGGGGACAGATGGGCCACCTGGGGGAGCCCTTAGATCAGGAACCTCCCATTCTTCCTCACCTAGGTCCCAGGCTGTGCTCAAAGAGGATTCCTTGAGGCCCTGGCAGTCAGGAAGCCTGTTTTTTGTGCCCCAAAGGCTGTAATGAAGACATTGATGACAACAGTGATGAAGACCAAGGTGGTGGCCGCATTGTTGAGCTGGTTTAGTCGCCATTGCTTCTGCACCTCGTTCAGGTTCAGCCGTGCTGTGGAGGAGTGGGGGGGGGAAGGGAGGATCAGAGCAGGAGCCCCACCCTGGAGCTTCCCTCCCCACATGCACTAGCTTGGAGAAAGTCTGGCACTTCAGAGGTCCACATGGCAGAAATCAAGGGAAGTGGTCATCGTTGGGCTGAGATTGAAATGCCTTTGGCCCTCCTGACAGCACATGGTACTTCATGGGATAGGATTTGGGAATTCAAACAGGTTCTTCCAAGAGTGGAGATAAATAATCACAAAATACTATAGGGAGCTGGGTGCGGTGGCGCACTCCTGTAATCCAGCAGCTCAGGAGGCTGAAGCAAGAGGATCACAAGTTCAAAGCCAGCCTCAGCAATTTGGGGAGGCCCTGAGCAACTTAGCAAGACCCTGCCTCAAAATAAAATACAAAAAAAAAAAAAAAAAGGCTGGGATGTTGCTCAGTGGTTAAGCACCTCTGGATTTAATCCTCCATACCAAAACCAAAAACCAAAATGCCTGTAGGGAACTCTGCCACAGTGAGTAAAGACCATCATTCGGCAGGTATTGTGGAGTGTCCATCTTCTGGGATATCAGGATAGAGCAGATTTCTAGTCTTGCTGAACAGGAGTTATTTGTGCACTTGTAGGTGCAGTGGGCTAACCCTAAGTATCCAAATTGGCATGTGCCAACCCAGGGGACTGGCTCCTCACCAATGACAACCAAGAGGATTCCGATGACCACCTGCAGGAGCAGAGAGATGCTGATGAGCGTGACCAGGGCAGTGTAGTAATGAGAGGACGGTCCCTGCTCAAGCACCGCTTTCAGCCGTGTGGCATTGGACATGAAGAGAGCCACATCCAGCATGCTCTCTGCCACACTCTTCTTGGTGGCATAATGGTTCAGGTTGATGGGTTGGTTCCTCCTGGGGTTGGAGTTCCCAGGCTGTAACGGAGAAAGCACAGACTTAACCTAGGAAACTTCAGAAGGGAAGCAGTGGAGAGACTGGAAAGTGGAGAGAGATTTTAATTCCCTTCCCAAAGCAGGTGGGAATGCCCTCACCATTGATGGTGAGGCCCTGCATGGTTTATGGGTTTATGGCTTGAAGAAAAAGAAAGGGCTACTGGGCATTGTGGCCCAGACTTGCAGTCCCAGGTCCTCGGGAGGCTGAGGTGAAGGGTCTTTTGAGCCCAGGAGTTTGAGATCAGTCTGGACAACATAGGGAGACTCTGTTTCAATAAATCAGTAAGCACAAACAAAATGAATTCATATAATAAACAAAAGAGGGCTGGGGTTCTGGCTCAGCAGTAGAACACTTGCCTAGCAACACCTACGAGGCCCTGGGTTCGATCCTCAGCACCACATAAAAATAAAAAAATAAAATAAAGGTATTGTGTCCAACTACAACTAAAAAATAAACATTTTTTAAAATAAACAAAATAAATAAATAAATAAAACATTAGACTACAGAAACTTTGAGCTCTGAAGTGATGCTATGCTGTGACGTCTACTTTATGGAGGACCACTTTCCCTCACACCTTGATACATCCAGCAATAGGTGAATTGAAGCTTGGGTAAAATGGAATAGATGCTTTTTCTCCTAAAATGACATGGTCCCAAGGGAGGTTGCATAGCTCAGTGAATTAAACATGAGCTGCCTTTCAATCCACTCAGTCCCTGAACTAAGAACCCTGGAGCCTCAGCCCTGTTCACAAACATATTGGCCATTAAGCATAGGCTGTCAGAATACATGTATGTAAGCATGTATATATACACACAGTAATTAGTGCATGATAGTTAAAAACAGTTTTTTATTTTTCAATACCAAGGATTAAACCCGGGGTGCTATACCACTGTGCTATATCCCCAGCCCTTCTTTTATTTTTATTTTTAAGACAAGTCCTTGCTAAGTTGCCAAGGCTGGCCTTGGACTTCTGATCCTCCTGCCTTAGCCTCCCAAGCTAATTTAATATTTTAAATAATTTTTAGCTAGGGCTTATTAAAATGTAATTTATATTTGATTTTGGAGTATAAAATAAAACTGTTATTCTCAAGAAACCTCTAACTCCAAGGATGTAATCGCAATACAGGGCATATGGTAAGGTCCTCTGGGGTGGTCCAAGAAATTCACACTGGATGCTGCAGGCCATCTGCAGTCATTTAAGAACACTTGGGAGATTGACTTAGCAGTGGTGCTTAGGATAGATTGAACCAGGATGGACCAGATGTAAGGAGACTCACTTAAACATTATGGTCTTGTGGTCTCTGGATGTGAGTTAGTGGTGGAGTGCTTGCCTAGCATGGTGAGGCCCTGAGTTGATTCCCAGCACTGCATAAAATATATAAAGCTTATGATCTTGATTTAGGGTGAATATGAGAGGGAACTGAAGTGGCTGGTCATGAGAAGGGAAAGGAAGAGGAAAACGTGAAAGATGTGACTGCTTGGAGATAGGGAAGCTGACCCAGAAGGTCACCATAGCAGGATGGCTCTCTATTTGGGTGGATGGACAGACACATGGACAGATGGTCTGGTGGATGGAAGGATGGATGAATGGATGGATGGGTAGGTGGGTGGATGGGGCAGGTTCAGAGGATCTGGGTGTGTCTTATACTCAGTGTGACCACAGCAAGGCACTTCACTTTTCTGTTTAACAGGTAATTACAGAGGTAAGTTAAGATGGAGGAGAAACCTATGTAACCAGAACTTTGGACTGTAAGAACCCTGAAAATGTTCTGAAATGCAGCGATCTCCATACTTTCTTTTTGTGGTGCTGGGGATTTAACCCAGAGTCTTGTGTATGCAGCGAAAGTTGGTAGAGCGCTACCAACTGAGCTATATCCCCAGCCCCTCCAAACTTTTCTGATAGCATCATCTCAGAATTAGCATTAATAATTGTTTTGGGTCAGGCACACTATTGTCATCCCAGTAAGTTAAGAGGCTGAGGAAGGAGGATCACAAATCTGTCCTAAGTCGAGGAGGATCACAGTTTGGAGTGGGGGTGGGGGTACAGACTATTGTTATTTGTAAATTTCACTTTTTAAAATTTTGTTTATTTTTAAAAATATGTATTTGTTAGTTGTAGTTGGACACAATACCTTTCAGGGTTCCTAGTTCAGAGACTGAGTGGATTGAAAGGCAGCTCATGTTTAATTCACTGAGCTATGCACCCTCCCTTGGGACCATGTCATTTTGGGAGAAAAGGCATCTATCCCTATTCTTTCACGTTTCTCTCTTCCTTTCCCTTCTCATGACCAGCCACTTCAGTTCCCTTTTGTATTCACCCTAAATCAAGACCATAAGCTTTATATATTTTATGCAGCCTTGGCCACTTAGAGAGACCCTGTTTCAAAAAAAGAAAGAAAGAAAGGAAGGAAGGAAGGAAGGAAGGAAGGAAGGAAGGAAGGAAGGAAGGAAGGAAGGAAGGAAGGAAGGATTGGGGATGTAGCTCAGTGGTAAAACACTCTGAGTGTTTTACCACTTTAAGATATCATAAAACAAACAAAACAGAGCAACAACAAAAAACCCACCTCTAATCCACACATTCTTTTTGTTGCAGACTGAACCAAATCTGTCCTAAGTCAACAGAAAGGGGTCCCTGTCTCCCAGTCCTCCTAAAGTTTGCCTTTGAATTCAGCCTCTATGTGACCTTCATTTTTAAACTCCAGGCCCCTCACTCCCTTTGCCAGGAGGATCCATATATCTAGTCAAGGAAGGTTCTGGGTCACAGGGATGTCAACAAAGAGCACCTGCCCTGATAGATGGCATCAGTGCTGGCAGCGTGCGTGCCTTGAGACTTCTGTTTCCAACACACCTACGGGAAGATCCAAGCACAGAGGAACCACTCTGGGGAAGTGGTTGCACATTATTAAATCATCAAAATCTGTATATACTCAACTTCCAGGTACGGTGGGACACTCGGAGGGCAATCCAAAGTGTGCACTTTGGCCAGATTTATACACTTTTCCTCAGGAGGTGAGAATGGAGACTCATGGGCACCATTCATTCCACACAGTTTAACCATACATGTCAGGTGGTGCTCAGGACTGTGTATCCCCAAGGTGGGATAAAGCATTGTTGCTACTTCTTTCCCAGGTCCCTGATGAGCACTGACCCATTGGGCTGCTGGTCATTCATACCAGACCCTGGTTGCCAGTTATTTTTCACAGGTACCAACATCAGCCTGGGGCCCAGAGCCTAGAGAAATAGGAAACAGGGCTGTAGACATGAAGGGATGGAGTACCTGCCTCTGTTATTCCTTTCTGTTAGATTTTTCTGGGGCCTGGGTTTCAGCCAGTACTGGGGGCTGTGAGTTGGAGGAGGTGGGGATAGTGTCAGGATGAGGACTTGTGTGGACCTGGGAGGCCACACACCTCATTCAGAGCCTTTGGAAATGAGTGCCAAGCCAGTCTGGGCTTGTCGGGGACCAACAGTCTGGTTGATTAGGGACAGAGATCCCAGGGCCAACACCTCACAAAGGCCAGAGGTCATTTACAACCTGTGGTCCTAGCCCATTCCCGTCACTATGAGAGGATTCAGCCACCTACCTACGTGTTCAGGGTACTTCTACCCAGTTCCTGCCCCATGTCCACTCACTCCTCCTCTTCCCACCCTGCACTCGAATTTGTTCAGTAGCTTCTTCCTTCCAAACCCAATTAGAAAGTTCAAAATCTGATAGATCCATCTAGCTTTAAGGGAGACACCTTTCTCTGAATATTTGCAAATGAAGAGTAAACAAAACCTTAAACTCAAACCTCTAGCAGTGTTTTCAGCACTGACTAAATAAATGGTGATAGGAGGAGTACTTAGGAACAGAGAGATCTTCCCCAGCCTCTACATAAAATATCCCAATCTGGGCATAGCCTTGGTGGTGCATATCTTTAATTCCAGTGTCTCAAGTGCTGAGGCAGAAGGGTTGCCAGTTTGAAGCCAGCCTCAGCAACTTAGTGAGATCCTAAGCAATTTAGAAAGACCCTGTCTCAGAATAAAAAATAAAAAGGTCCTGAGATGTATCTCAGTGGTAGAACACCTGGGTCCAATCTTCAGTTTGGAGTGGGGGTGGGGTAGAGACTATTGTTATTTGTAAATTTCACTTTTTTTTTTCCAACTCTGGAGATGGAGCCCAGGGCGAGTGCTAGGCAAACACTCTACCACTGAGCTACATCCCCAGTCTCTGCAAACTTTTAAGAGCTGGTTGGCTTCTGTTGAATCTAGTTGGAAAGCCCTGAGCTTCACAGAGTTGTGGAAATTCACAATGAGTTTAGGAGGTGCAGGCCTGAATCTCATCCTCTACTAAATCCAAGATCTCTTCCTCTCCTCTCTAAATTCAATGTAAAGAGTGCTGATTTTGGACTGCTTCTAACTGAAGGTGCTTTTCCAGGGTCTGCTTAAGGTGGTGACCCGGGTGAGGTGCCTGTCCTCTCTCATCTTCTCAAGGCACCAGTTCTCCAGAATGTCCACATGGTGGCGTGCAGGATCCAAAAAAGCAGCAGGATGGCATTTCTGCCTCCAGGAATCCACTGATAGGACAGGACTCCTGGGAGGCCCAGGATGGGAGCCTGAAAAGGACACAAGTCTGAATAGGTCAACCAAAAACCAACCAGACCTGAGTGTCCAAGGAGAGTTCAAGAATAAAACCAATGCTGCCAAGTGCAGAGGTGCACACCTCATTCTGTCAGGAGAAGGAGGCAGGAGGATCGCAAGTTTGAGGCCAGCCTCAGCAATTTAGTGAGACCCTAAGCAACTTAGCAAGACCCTGTCTTAAAAAATAAAAAAGTTGTGGCTCAGTGGTAAAGAAAGAATAAACCAATACACAACCAGAGAAACTCCACATCATATACAACCACAAGAATGGGATCCTAATTAGAATAAGTTAAACTCCATATATGTATAATATGGCAAAGTACACTCTACTGTCATGTATATCTAAAAAAGAACATTTTTTAAA